TTACATAAATGCATAAAATCTGCAGTATAATTATAGTAATATATTTTTAGTATTTGAAAAGAGAAAAAGTGAAAGAATGAAGTGAATAGAACGATTTCACTTTACTTTTTCATATAATTACATTTTATAATATAAAGTTATAACTTAATAGATAAATTTTAATTGATATTTTTGTATATCAACTTTTGTATTTTTGACTTCTAGATTCAATTTTTGAAACATATTCCACAAATATATTATATATATTATATATTATATATATATATATTAAAATTTTAATTTTAATAATTAGATACATATATATATATAATATATTTTTAATGAAATAAAATAGCAAAATTAATATTATTATCAGATTAAATATATTTGACATTTATGATATCTGTCAATGATTTAAAAATAAACCAAATTATAATATTATAATAAGATTTTACCATGTATTGAAAAAATATTCCGCAATGAATGACACAAGTCTTATATACTGATGATATTCTTTATTTATCTTGTATTTATATTCGCAAGAAGATTTACTGAAATTATTATCTATTATTTACTTTTGCGGTTGTATGATATGGAGCAATACTCGAATAGTGGGAGAAATTTTTAAACGATTCCTACTCCTATTTTTATATATATTATTACTATATATAGACATATATGCTATATAAATTTTTCTAAAATTTTACTTATATATTATCTAGTAAATTAATTTTTCTAATTTTCCAAAACAATTCAAATTATTTAGTCCAATTTTAAAAAAGTTATTTTATTTTAGTAGATAAGCTTATATTTTTATCTATTATTGTATATAGATAAAAGAAAATTTTATAAAATGGAATAGTATTAATCTTTTTTTACATATCTCAAAAATTAGACCGAATGGTGATAATATGCAAAAGAAAAAATTATTTAAATATTGAATTCCACAACATATTAAAAAATAATTGAAATCGATGAGGATTTTCTTATTTCGAATAAATTACCGAGATTTGCAAGTCATATCTGTAAAAATAATATATAAATAATCGCATTATGCTAATATATGTGTGCTCGTATAAATAGAATTCAATATACTATATCAAAATTTTTTAATTAATATCTCGGAAATATTAAATAATCAAAGATAAAATTTAGATTTATTGTTTATTCCTTCCAATCCAAATATGATAATCGAAATATTTTTATTCTTTTTGAAAATACGATTAATATTGTATTGGTTCCACATTATTATTATATGTAAATGCAATATAATTATCATTTCATTTCATTACAAGATTTATGTATAATTAATAATAATATAATTAGATTATATTAAATTAGGATATATATTATTGATGATTTTTAAAATAATGAAATTTTAATGAAAATCCAATTTTTAATTTTTTATTTTATTAAAATAATTAAAATAATTAAATGAATAAATGGGATAAGATTAAGGTTAAAAATTCTAAGATGTTCCAATAGTTATATTTTCAAAATAAAAATAATTATCATATTTTCAATTTCATACTTTCACAATTATTATTGATGATAAATCAATCACGCTATTCTGTCATCCATTTTAATAGTATTTATGAGAGTGAATAATATGATTTTACATAAGAGTCTATATATTATATATATAATATATCTTATAATATGTAGATAAATATACAATTATAAATATAGGATAAAATATAATAAAGATAAATACTTTTTGATTATTTCTTTATTTATTTTGTTTTGTTGATTATTTAATGTTAATTTTTTTTATGATCAAATCATAATATCAAATGATATTTAAAAACATTATAATAGAAAAATATAATATGATAAATCAATGTAATAAAAAAAATATTTCTATAAATTATATGTGAAAATTTATTCACTTGTTATCGTGAACATGTATGATGTTAATAATTTATCTCTATAGCAAATATATAAATTATTCTTAAATTATTGTTTTTTAACAATTTAAAAATTTTAAAATTCGTCTTTTTATTTCATTTTATTTTCTTATACTTTTATTTTATTTTATTTTTTATTAATTATTATTTATGCAATTATTAAATTATTATTAGTAAAATTAATAAGATAAGATTATTATGTTATTATATTAAAGATAATATTTATATTTATTATATTTATTATATTGGTTTGTTCTTT